TTGTAACTGTTGCTAAATCTATGGCCTTTAGTAGACCAAAAATATAACGATGATAAGTATTTATATTCATTCATTACACCCTACGTCATTTAGTATGTTATGTCAAATGTAAATAGCAAACCTTGCAAATTGAGAATGGATTTAGGAATATACCTAGCAGTGGAGTGCTTAAATGCTCACAATCATCACGGTGATATAATTCCTTTCCTTGCTTTTAGTAGCATTTAAATTATTTAGCTAATCAAAGCTGGGCCATGTTACTAGTATTTAAAACACAATTTAATAAATCTTGGCATAGTAAGACAAAACCAATAAAATAAAAAAGAGAATCCCTTATTCCATATCCCATGACGACTCCGTGGCACAGTGGCTTAGCAATGAGTTACGCCGCGGGTTCGAATCCCGCAGGTAACATTAATTTATATAGCCTACAAGTAATTGTTCCGGGTCTGGATGTTTGTCCTCGTGAAATTTATATTTGGAAGCTGCCCTCAAGATACAGAAGAAAATCCTAGTGTTGAGGTAACGTTTTTATAAGAAGATAAAAAAAAATATCATAGAAAGTTAACTTTAACTTTCATCCTTTAACCGCAAATAAAAAAAATTGTAGCAATGTAGAATAACCACTACCTGATATCGTCCTATTAGTGTCGTAGGAAGCGACAGAGGGAAATAAACCATGTAAATAAAAATAAAAACAGCGGTTGCCAACTTACCTGCCAAGTATGGCAAGTACAGCAAATTTCTTATAAACTTATACATAGGTAATGCTAGTAATAATAGTAAGCAGCGACATAGGAAAGTTGTAACAAGATGCAGTAACATCTTAAAATACGAGCTAACTCTAACAGCTCAAAATACGAGCGCGCAATGATTTGCAACATTTTTCCGACGTACTTTGTTGTATCACGAGTGACAGGCCTCCAATTTCGTCACGATCTTGATAATAAATGTCTGTAAATATACATAGTACTACGTCAAATTTTATGTAACAATAACGCAACAACATATTATTATTGTTTATCAATATGTGTTGTGCAACCTCAATGTTAGGTTGACGTCATAATATATTTTCTTCAAAACATCATACCCTGATTATAGGTGATTTTAGGCTATGGATAGAAATTCTGAATAGTCGAAAGCTATAAACTATGCAGGATACATAAATCGCGCCTAACTGCCTAACCTATCCCTTTCTTTTTAATCGACCCGTAAAATCCCCTTTTGATGGCTCCATGGCGCAGTGACTTGGCATTGAGTTGCAGACCAAAGCCGCACGAAACAAATGTGTATGTCTAATGTAGTGGTATGGTATAGTTGTATGGCCTACAAATAATTGTTCCGGGTCTGGATACTGGTCCTTGTGCTATTTAAGCTTATAAACTGCCTCCACAATATAGGAGAAAACCAACATGTTAGGAGGCAACTTTATAAAAAAGAAAATGCTGATCACGGATCTCTCACGTTGTAGGAGGCATTTGTATCGTCACGCTTAACGAATACGGATTAATGATCGCACTACCAGACGTAAGCACCTTTGACGCTATTTCCCGTCGCCGGGTATTTTACGTCTGAAGTAAACAGGATGGTCATACCGCATTCCATTAGAAGCCATAATCTAGCATTTTCGACAGTCGCCTTTTACGTCAGCTACGCCACTACCACAAGTCAAAACACTACAATTAGATAATTTGAAATATTCAGCATTCATGAGATAAGATTAGTGAGGGAATGAATTGATTGATTTTATCATGAACTTCTGACATAAAGCCAATGTTTAGTAAAATAAACTCAAATAAACAATGTGGTTACTGTTCAACAAATTGGAGCAGGGTTAATGAAACTAATTTTATTCTTAACCTATAATATGATCATGTTATTGCCCAGTAAAATGAGTAGGTCAGTCCGCGATCAAGTGTGTATGTTGGAATAAAATTTTCAGATTTCACAAATAAAAAAGAAATTGATTCTTGAAAAAGAAATCGACTAATCTATCGCTAAATATAAACAAATTATGAGAAACATATCTGAAATTGAAAACAGGTAACCGAAACGTTTTATTTTATTTCAATACAATATTTATTTATAAATAATAAATATTTTCTCACGTTTGTAATCATTGTAAAATTGCAACGTATTGGGCATAATAACCATATTACACACATCTGCAGATTCATATTACACACAACTTCAAGCCCTGCAAAGTTGATTGACTTGTATACAAAACCGGATTTTTGCATTTGACTGACCGATTATCTGCACAGGCAGTTACAATTCTCGCTATAAATCGATAAAAAAAAAACAATCCGATCCGGTAAAACTACAGCAAAGAAAAAAAAACAAATATAACGTACGTTGGCCGCAAGCAAAAAGGAACAATGATGTGTGGTTCTTGAACCTCAAGAGATACAAATCAAAATTGATTGAATTTTCCACTTCACTATAAATTATGTATACTGTTGAATAGAGTTAATTAACACATTTTTTGTGACATTACGATTTTCGTTGTGCTTTAGGCGACGATTCAAACATAATAATATTTTTGACCGTGTAGTGGCGGTTTTAGAACATCCACTAGCCCATATCTTCCTATGGCATGGGTCTCGTAAGAGCCGACAGAGAGGAACAAGTCATGATATGAGCAGCAGCGTCTTCCTAATAACGATTGAAAATAAAATTGCCAACACACACACATATATATACATACATATGTATGTATGTATATATACATATGAGACAATCTATGGGGGGAGGCTTATATTCAGAAGATCAGTAGTGGACTTTAAGGCTGTAACGGTTGACGGTATATACAAAATGACCCTATTATATTTATACTTAGTCCGCCCCGCTTACAAGTGAGAGGAGGCCCTGTGCCCAGCAGTGGGACGTACATAGGCTGTAACTTTATTTTACTATTATATAGGTACCTATATAGCAAGCGATAATTTGTTTATCAGTTAAACAGGGAGTGTGGCGTTGTGTGCTATCACACGCACATTTTTACGTGGTCTACCACGTAAAAAATCTAGCTCTGCTGCAGTTATATTAGTAGTATAGTTGTAGCACGAATGGGTCGGCGCGACCGGGAAAAGACCACGCTCTCACAGAATACCAGCGTAAAATAGCAGCTTAATGCTGCTGTATTTCGTATGGTGAGTGCAGAGAACCGGAGACCCTTTTTACGGGGCATTCCATCTTAGTCCTCACGGGTGACATCGCATTTGCATTTTGATTCGTGGTCGAGGATAGATGTAGACGTCTATGGGCCGCAGCACCCACTTACCATCAGGTGGACTGTTTGTCACCCTACCTATAAAAAAAACGTTCCTTCCGCAAACTAGAGCAATTGCGATGGTGATGCTACTTCACTGTTGAAAATATTTATATTTCAAGCATTGAATAACACGTCACGTTTATGTTTCAGACTCGCTACGCGAGCAACAAGCCGGTGACCACCACAGGAATCTAAATAATATTATAATATTATTATTCAGATTTCTGTGGTGACCATAATCCCACCTGGTGGTAAGTGGTGATGACGCCCTAGATGGTAAATCACACTGTTTTTATAGATTAAGAGTGACAAACGAACACAATCCACCTGGCGGTAAGTGTATGCTGTGGCACATAAATATTTACATCTATGATTTGATGAACAATCAAAATGTTGATGCGTTGTCACACTCGAGGATTATGATGGAATGTCATGTCACATTTACCATAAGAAAAACAACAAGCATTAAGCTGCTATTTCATTCCGTGAGAGCGTGGTCCTTCCCCACTCGGGAGACCCATTCGTGCTACAACTAAAATATAGGTACAGCATGACTCTACTACGTAAATGCCTGATACCCAGTGATATATTTAAGCCATTGAGTGAGTACATGCTGTGAAAACGTAGTTAAATATCCCAACAACCCACGGACACACCTGTTAAAAATAAATGGCCTTCGTTTAGGCCTAAAAACAAATCAAGATTGAACTATAATCGAAACTAAATAGCATTTACTCAATACAAGAACAAACATCAAACGTCAAAACCACGGAATTCGTAATAATATCTTATTAATACGATTTCTGTGGTCAAAACGAAGCTAACCATGATTCCTATCAGAGTTATGCACAATGGATTCCCCATAGAATTTTGCTAACCCCAAAATGAGTTATGACGTCGGACTCGGAAATGTTAAATATGCCTTGAAAAGAACGTGTTATCAGCATGACTTGATTAGCATTGAAAAGCAAATGAAAATTAACTGACATTAATAATGTTTAAATAAATCGCTATAGTATTAAGGGAGAAACCTCAACCGTTCAGCTAAATGAGCCCTGTGAGTATATTACAAAATATTCTCAACGTATCCATCTATTTCAACAAAACTCTTCCACAACTGATGTTAACAGAATTAATAATAATGCCTAGGAATATTTTTAACCGCGTTTCTTAGTACGGGTTAACCGCGCATAGCAACCGTTGCGCAAGGTTAGCCGGCACAGTCACGCGACGAGAGCCAATCAAATGCCGCCATTGCTATGACGTCAGCGACCACGCCTGCGCGCGCCTCCGCCGCGCCGCCATGTTGCTTTGAAAATGCACGACGAAACGTCCGCGCGATAAAACAACCACTGTATCATTGTATTAATAAACCAAGCGACGTCGCGTCGCACGCAAATAATCTGAGCCAATGATAACACCATTTTGCACTAAAACGTAATAAGTGTATAAAGTATTTGCGTCCTGTTCCTCGACTCACATATTTAGAATTAGATCGCAGTCATCAATCATAATATAACCGACAATGACTAGTTTAAAATAAGAATGACGATAACACCCGTTTGCTCTCAAACGTAATTAACTGTAAGCATAAAGTATTTAAGTCTTGTTTGTCGTTTAATTATCTATTCACATTTTCAGCCTAGCGGAATTATTTCGCGGTTATCAATCATAATATGACTGACAAGCCTATAGTTTGAAATAAGAATGACGATATATAGTAATGTTAATGGTTTATGAACTCTAATGAAATAGGCAACTCACCCATCATGTTGGACATGAATTTTGATCTGTCCATCGGTGGAATCCATTTTGAGGCCATAGGGAGTATAGCGGGCCATGTCGCTCCAAGAAGGAAGCCCAACACCACCCTCAGTGCAACTATCCATCCGAAGCCAGCTGACGCTGCACTGGGAGACACAAGTGTGAGGATACTGGCCAGCAAGGTGCTATATCCGAAGACTCGTCTGCAGACAATGAAAACAATGTATTAACGGTTCCATTCAAATACAAAGAAGGAAAAAGTTAAGAAAGTATCACCAATGCATTTTAACACTTAAAAATATTTATTAAACATTCACTGTCCGATATGCAGACACAAGTACAACAATAGCAATGAACGATATGTAGTACACGCGACAGCGAATGGGTTAAATGATAATGTATCACTCAAAAACTACACTTTAATCCAAATAATTAGTAGGTACCTATTTATATTAACACGTATAAGAAATAAGGGAAAAGTATTTTCCAATTTTGTATACCATTGTATAATTAATTGGCAATCAGACCGTAAGCAGTCTATCTAATCATCATGAGCGTGTCTACATCTATTAAAATGTTAATGGAAAAGATGTAACGTAATAAAGATAAGTAAGAAGTTTTTAAAAATAAAAAATTAAATAATATTAACGTAAAAGATGTAGTTCTTATATTCTTGTAATTGACGACCTGTGAAAAAGTTGAAGATGATCGAGATACTTTTGCCAGAATACGGAACGGAACACATGAAAAATGTCGTAATTTTGTAATGCTACATGTAATTGCAGAAATAAATCACAATGTGATTGTGTGATAACACAATTTTTTACGTAACTTAAAAACCGGGCAAGTGCAAGTAGGACTCGCACCCTAGGGGTTACGCATCGTATAAATTTGAGAACCTACTTTCACCAAAATAATTAAGCACCGGACATTGCTCTGACGAAAAGTTAGTCGTATTGAAGGACCAAATTTCATTTTACAGTGAAAAAAATGTTCTGAGAAAAGGGTTTTGACCATAGAAATCTAAATAATAACGCACTAATATTTAGATTTCTGTGGTCTTGACGGACAATAAAGTTGTAACAGTTTCACTTTTATTAAAAAAAATGCTCATTATGTGATATGTTCATGTAATAATCGCGGACTAGATTCGGATCACTTACGACAAACATACGAAAAAGATCAGAAGCTCCTGAAGCAACAATGAAAGGAAAGGATAGTGTGTTAATGTATAATGAGATTAATAAGGAAATGTATTGTTCAATACGAGTTTTGACCGGCAATGCCAACGATTCTGAAATCTACCACAAACATCGAGTAAGCAAACAATGAAGACAAAATGGCCTGAATTGATAAATAGTAAATGTTTGGCCGTTTTAATGATAACTATAGACCGCGCACATGTTTAACTATGGCTGTGAAGTGTTCATACATGTAATATCGTATCTCAATGGTGTAGCCCTGAACTTGCAACTAGGAATGCCAGATCTAAAACAAAAACATCTGGACAATATTTTAAAATGTCCGCATTTTGGGGTTGTCGTCGGGAGAAATGAATATAAAAAAATTAAAATATAATATAAATAGTTTTTTTTTTACATTACAACAAGGCTACAAAAAGACTTAACATTGTTAACACATAACTAATTTAAGTACACTTAATTTTTAAGTTGTCAGTTGTATTTGACATTGGACTTCACCGAGTCCACCTATTTGGATCCTTTATTAGTATTCAGAAAATATTTAAAATTTAAACAATTTACTTTAAAGTTCAGTCTAATTACTAACTCAGCTATAATTAAATCAAAGACAGCTGTGATGTGAAGCTGTTTGTCTGTAGATTTTGAGTTTTGTAGTGAGTCTGGATATCATTTAAAATGTCGGGAGAATCCAGACAAATTCCGACCATTTGGTAACTCTACTTGCGCCAGTCACTTCAGATTTTGATTACCTTAATTTAATATCATGCAAGACATATAAAAACTATTAGTCGAAAGTTTTCACCATAGTCTGTTGTATTAGTCCGTGTAAATGTAGCATAATTTCATAACGTATAGTGTGACTGACATAAGTTAAAGTAATACCGCGCAAATAACTATTTCGGATGATATTCGGAGTTGTAGGCATAATCAAAATTTGCCTGCAGAACACAATGATCTAATAATATACATTGGTTTATGTACACATACAAAAGTTGGCATGCCAACAATACGAATTATCAATGACCACCCACATATTACACATGAACCTGAAGCAAAAAAATACATGAACGATCACAATCAAACGAATCTGCGGTTAACAAATCTGTAAGATACAATGTATGTACGTTGTGCAGACGTGTCAAATGACGGTAAAATGGTGATTTAATTGATAATGGAGATGATATAGAGTGTAACATAATACTTGTTGTTATGATTCGGATAATACCTCAGTCCTCTACGAAACCACCAAAATTTCCTGCAGCATTATTTCGTTAAAAATGTCATAATGTTGCTAAAAACAGTACGATGATTACAATGTGATAAATTTTAATGAAAGCGCTTTTCGGCTTTAATAAGCTAACGAATAATAACGATTTGTATGAATAATATAAATACATAATATTATGTTTTCTTTATAGGGAGTTTCGCATCGGTGTTATTAGAACCTTATCTATCATTCTATTTCATCAGGGGGTTGTAATAAGAGGCCATTCATTAATTAAGTAAGGGACCCGAGGAGGGGGGGGGGGTAAAACATCTCTACATGTCCTTACCTTGGGGGGAGGAGGAAACTCATTCCTATGTATTACAATTCTAGTTCCATTTCGGATGCCGAATAGCTATCTTCATTCTGTCATCATAGTATTTTTATCCATTTCAAATAATAATTATAGCACATTCTTATTAATATTTGGAATAATCGCGTGTTTAATCTTATTTAATTATTTGGAACATAAAAAATTATTCTTTTATTTTGAAGCAACAATAGCATTGAATGATTAATTGTTTATCACTAATAATTTCAGTCACAATAGCATATTATTTTCCTCAAACTAACATCATTTTATAACTTCAAAAATCCATTTCATGTTGTTCTTAAAATAAAAATCCTTGATTTAGGTCAAACTGTGGGTTTTAGTGTAACTGATCCTTTTCTAACAACATTTCATTACTGTGAAAAACGAGATAGAATCTCTTACGCAAAACGAGGCAGGGGGGGGGAGCGAAAATCAGTAATTATTCTTCGGAAACGTCTTAGGAACTTCCAGACAAATCCTTTACGTCAAAATATCCAGACCAGTAACGAGCAGCACGGACGTCTGATACTGCGATCGTTTATCCGTCTGCTAAGGTACTAAGTCCCACCTACAAAGGGAGAGGCAAATGTCAAGAAGTGCACTTTAACTGGCAGGTTAAGAAGAAGAAAATCACAATTTATTTTAAATACATTTTTCAAATATTTAAATTACACAACAATGATAAAAATCTTTTTTTTAAATTAATTATTGTCTTTTAGACAAACAATGCCTTTTCAACAAACGCGTTACTATGAATGGGCATAGGCCGTGAGGATATAAAATATTTAAAGCACTGATCCAAAAATAACACGAAAAGACGGTCAATGCCGCGAATACCCGCTGAAGCGCGCAACCCGCATGTGGAAGTCGAGAACATTCAGCATGAATCAGTTTTTCAACGAAGAGTACCCCATATATATTATGTTTGCTATTTTATATTTAGTTAATTAAATTGCACCGTCGCTAAATTATTACACCAAGATTTTTATGAAAGAAAAATTTATGCCTGTATTTTTTTTATTCAATAAAGAGTTCTATTTCACAAAAATCACCGACAGTAATGATACTCATGTCATAGTTAAAAAATAAAAAGCAAACCAAAAACGAGTAGTTATTATAGTGGCTGATTCTTTTACCGTCTGGAATAAAAATAGGGTGTACCAGGTGAACGGAATAGAAACCTACGATTTATCAAAAAATACTACTAATTGGGTGCGTATTATTTTAACTTCGATAGTTTTTGATTTATTTATTTAGTCCTTTTTTTATTACCGAAAGTTTATTTTAAAATACCTAGTGATATTTATTGATAGTTCAATTTCATAATATGTTAATGTAAAAGCAAAAAAAAAATTGTAAAATATTAGTGCCATAGACTTTTATTCCGTTCACCTGTTACACCCTATTTTTTACCAGACGGTAAGAAAAATCATCCAGTATATTTAGTAGTTTTGATGATGTTTTAAGTACAAAAGATATAGCTTTATTGATAAGTTGTGATGTCCCTTTATTCGGTTTCCACCATGGCCATATTTATAATACATATCTCTGAACCGGAAGTGTAAATACGATATCATCCCTTCTTGTCCACACTTCAACGTCTCAGAAGCAACAAATACTCAAAAATTACAAATAGTCTGATCAGATTCAACCACATCATGCACCTGTTCATTTTGAAACACATTTTCCAGTGATCTAGTCGAGTAAAAATAAATAATAACCAATTAAAAAATAACATTTTACAATTGACGCTGGAGTTGAAAAATCCGACTATATTTTTCAACTCCAGTGAAGGTGAAAAAAGTAGGGTTTTAAAAATTGTGCAAAACAAAAAAAAAGGAATAGTAAATAACTATTATTATTTCTCGTTAAGACTCGTAATATGGTATTTTTAGCAGCGTGAACAAAAATGAAATAAAAAACCGAATATGTAAAATGAAATTCAGATAATTGTAAATGTATTTGATGCCATCGTCCTACATTCCTGGTTACTCAGCACGTTAGTCACCAACCAGTTACAGAAGCCCACGCTGCGTGCGGGCGATAAAATAATGCAATTCCACTATTATATTTAATCGTAAACTACGTACTCGTTAAAACATAATCACGTCACTAGAATATTATCTATCAGTTAATACACGGCCCCTATACATATTTTATATATGTATATCTTTTATTTTTTTCGCCCGGTCACTGAATTTTGTAATTAGCTAACGATCTAACCACAGAAATCTAAAAAATAAAGCAATGCCTTATTATTTAGATTTCTGTGGATCTAACAGTTCAGAGCTTCAGAGTAGTCTTAAGAGTGGCGTTGTCGCCACTCAAGAATAAGACGATCGCTCACAGTATTCAGTTATACTAACTTTTTTCTAGCAGACCCACCACCTACCCGGATGAATTAAGGCATAAAAACAGCTCTATTAATAAAGTTTTGTACATGAAAATCCTTTTAATGGCGTAAAGATTGCCAAATATAATTTCTAAAAAAACACAAAGGCGTAAGAGGCGACAGATTTAAATGAAAGAGATCTTTTCTTTGGCTATCTGGGCAACGAAATGTTTCCGATAATAACTCAAAAAAATAAAAAATGCCGTAGTTGCCACCCCGCTTGCCAAGCGGGGAACTACGGTAAATATCCGCCTTATGAGGCAATCTATGAAGGAGGTTCATGTTCAGTAATGGTAATGACCGTAAATCGACAATCATTCGGCAATCATGTTTATATGACATTGTTTGATTCAATTATTTATTTTTACTAGCATTATTGACGTATTAAAATATTGTAATCATCATAAAGTAGTATCAGTAAGATCATCAGAGTTGATAAATACTACAAATTACAGAACGATACCCTTCAGATTCGTAAAGGTATACTAAACACTAAGGTCCGGTTTACATTTTGAGAAGTGACAAGTGCGAGTGGCTAGTGCAACTGACAAGTGCGTAGTTTAGTCACATTTATCACTTGTCACTGCCTGTTCACACGCACTAAGCACTTGTCATTTAACAGTCGCACTTGCCACTCGCACTTGCCATTTGCACATGTTACTTCTCAAAATGTAAACCGTGCCTAAGAAGCAGCTAATTGTGTAGTCCGTAGTTAATAGTCGATAATTAGTTGGGCATCACAGATAATAACACCTTATGAAAGTGGCGTACAAGAATCCATCCCGGAGCTAGATAGATAGATAGAAAATTAGAAAGCGTTAATTAATCTTACTAATTGTCCTTCAATCATGCTTGAACGGTTCGACGGATTATAATGAGCATTTGTAAAGTCGATTAGGTCTTGGAATACTTAATTATTATTACTAAATACTAAAGTTTAATTTTCGAAGAATTGGCGGATAACAACTACAATACTGGTATATTTGTTGACTTGTTGATAAATAGTAGCAAAAACGACTTAAAAGAACAATGACGCATGTTGTTTGACGTCACAATCATCATTGCGGGTCAAATTAGCAAGAATCCAAGCTATAGCTATACATTACGTCTCGTTGACTTGCCCCGACCCTTCCATTGGCCGTTTCTAGAATGATCGGCGGGAACGTTAAATACGCACAATTGCACCAGGGTGTGACATTGTGAGACACTGTATCGCACACTGTACCTACAGCAAAATGTTTTCTTCGGTGGACTCAGTCAAGTAAACATTTACGAAATTTGCCACAATGTTCTGCCACAGGCACCCGTTGTTAAAGAGTCTTCAGTTAGGGCCTCATCTAGCAAAGCAGTTGTGCAGCACTAAGCAATACGTTTTCCTATCTATCCACATTAACGACTTAAGACAAAGCACTCCTGTGGTGAACATGTTGGACGTGCACGTGCATGTATGTACGGCTTCATACGTTACACCGTTGGGATTCTGTACAAAATGTATTGTACAGAATTTTAATGGCATAATGAACGCTAGAACAGATAAGATCGTAATTGATTCAATTTGAGAGCGTAATTATAAAGCAAATGTTCGTACATTTGATTCGTAGTTATGATGAATTGAACTTGGATGATATTATCGTATTATGGTTTTAAAGCAACCGAGTAAGAGTAAGCATCTTTAATAGATGTGGTTGTTCCAAAATATTTTAAGTCATCGTACGCTCATTGCAATATCATTGTTTTAATGGTGTTATTATTAATTTGTCGATTCAAAAGCATGTTACCAGCGTGTAATCCAAGACGACCCTCCAGTGCTGCTAAATATTTCGTTAAACTTTAAATAGATAAATGAAAGTTGCGATACAATGAATAATAATAATGAACGACGAATTTTATTATCTACAACTAAACATATTATATTTATTCAGTACAGAAATTTTAAACGTGGGCTACAACGTTGATTTTATTTAATTTAGCTATATCTGTGTAGCCTAGTGTTTATTAAAATAGATCATTTGAATTTTTAACTTTTAATAATTATTTCTTATTTTAAAGTAGTCGGAGCGCGATGTTGAATTCCAAGAACCACTCTTCATTTTAATCTAAATGTGGGTCTAGTAGACACCTAAATCCTAAATTGTGCGTGTGAAATAGTATGTCATTAACAAAAAAAAATCACTTGCAATAATCACTATCAGATATCACTTTTTTATCCAATCCTAGAATTAAAAAATAGAGCAAACTTAAATTTTAACAGAACTTAATAAATTAATAATAATGATGCTGCTGTCCTTAAGGTCAAGGCGGCCAGTGACCGTGGAGACCAGCCACCTGCGCAGGACAGGATTATAGTTCACGAGTGTATGCGCAAGCACAGGTGCACTGTACTGTGTACTCCCTCGCCCTCATAGTCCTATGCGACGGTAATCAGACACGACTCCGATCGTGTCTGATCGTGAGAGATCAGGCACACGAACGTTTTTCGAGGCACGGAGATCAAATACCGCCAACTTCCTGACTCCGGTATGCTACTGTGAAATTTATGACAGAAAAACCTAACTGACTACTGAACTTAGCTCATCCATGATTCGAACCCGAGACCACATGACAGCGGCCGCGCGACCACTGCACTAACGTGGCTTAACTAATTAATTTAAACACTGTTTTTATAGGATAGGGTGACAAACGTGCACACAGTCCATTAGATGGTAAGTGGATGCTGTGGCCCATAGACATCTACATCTATCCTCGATTACGAATCAAAATGCAGACGCGATGTCACCCGTGAGGACTAAGATATAATGCCTAATTTCCAGTAAAAAGGATCTAAGTTCTCTACACTCACAACACGAAACACAGGAGTATTAAACGGGCTACATACGACACGATATCGGTGGCGATCTAGGGTGGAAAGAAATCGGGGCTTTTATCGGGGTAGACCTTACACACGGGCCTGCCTAGCAGTACGCGTTCGGACTTGGAGCGGAATGCATATGCGGTAGAGTTCTTCAAAATACCTCCGACTCTCTTAAAACACCACCGTGTTGGTTTGGCATTAGCCATCTCGGTTAATTTATTCGAAAATAGAAAAAGAGAAGTTGCTGGGTGAAAAAATGGCTCCAAAAGAGATAAAAATTAAGCCACATAAACGTACTAAATGGCATATAATACAAGGACGTGATTAATTTTCTCCGGATGGATGAAGACAGTTTTTATAACCTTCTAGAAATGATTTCGCCACTTATATAAAAACGTCAATTTCTCCTACCTATGCTATTTAGTTATTTCTTCTCTTTGTTCATTTCTGCTTTGGTCAAAATCTGGTTATGTATTACACACAACAAACAAGGAAATAAAATACTTTTGTATAATAATATGTATACTTTTTTTTTAATGTAATCTTTATTTATGGAGTAAAATTATCAGAAAATAAAATAGCTTATATCTTTTTTTAAACATAAAGAAACCTTTAATTTCGGACATACTCCCTTTTATATAACTTGTTTGTTGATGTGGAGATGGTGAAGGAGTAGAAGTTAGTTGTTGATAAGAGGATGAAGGCACGTAAGAGATCGAAGTGTGGTCTTGTGGAGTTGTAAGAGATATGAGTGCGGTCTTGTGTTGATAGCGTTGGAATAGGAGTTAGTTGTTGAGGAGAGGCTTTATCTTCTCCTTACTTACATCATACACTCTACTTTACGAACGGCAATAAAAAAATTAGTTTAGTAGGCATTCTTGACCATGTCACTTCGCAGGGTCATAGGCTAGGGTGGATATGATTTGAATTTCGATAAAATTTCAATTAATTTATTTATTTTATTCACTTTTTTTTGGTTTTTTTGTAAAATATCAGTGCCATAGGCTTCTACTCCGTTTATATGATTAAAATGTAAAAATTTTGTTATATAAAAAAGGTCATTCAGTATCACTGTTTTGTTAACTTCCTTCCGCGAGGGTTGCCGGCAGCGACTGCCAAAAGAAATCGGGCCGATGCGCCTACACACACGCAGTAAGGAGGGGGCGGTGCCCCGATCTAGGAAGCATCGGCTGATCTAGGAAGCATTTTTGCTCCTGCCAGCCGATTAAGGAGGCGATATCGGCCACGACTTAGGATGGCCCTACATACGACACGATTTAGAGGCAATCTAGGAGGCATCCCCACTACTCCACCCTAGATCGCCACCGATATCGTGTCGTATGTAGCCCGCTTTAAGCTGCTATTTTACGCTGGTATTCTGTGAGAGCGTGCCCTTGTTGAGCCCACCCATTCGTGCTACAACTATACTACTATAACTGTAGTAATAAGAATTGATTTATATTCATGTGGAGATCCCAAAATAATCTAATCGCAGAAGTGATAGTTTTCCGGTAAATACATCATAAGCAACTAGGTAATTTTATAATAGTTAAAAGATAATTTGAAAAAGAAATTTTGATGCAATTAAATTATAACTTACCTAGCACCTATGATTTCTGCTAGTCGACCGCCTGGAAGTTCCGTGAGGACATACCCCCAGAAGAAGCAACCCAGCAAGTGGTTCTTCTGCTTCGTATCCCAATGGTATCGTGTCTGTTCTATGTGCTCAGGATGCTGTTGAAAACATGACAGTTAAAGGATATTCAGATTTCTATTTAAGTGCATGAATAACAACTTACAAAAGTTATTCAAATACAAAATAACATATAAATAATGTAGCTTACGAATATATATCCATAGGTGATATAATCTGACATAGGCCGAAATATTTAATTGCATTTAATGTTTCTCTGTGTGTTAAACTTAGAAATTAGAATATCGACACTAAAACCAGAGTAACCGACATAGTTCAACGAATTAGTAAGCTGAAGTGGCAATGGGCCAGCCATATAGCTCAAAAAACCGACAGCCGATGGGGAAGAAAGGTCCTCGGGTGGCAACCTTGTACCGGTAAACGAAGTGTAAGGCGACCTACTAGACCAGTGACGCCCTGGTAAGACATGCAGGAAGTCGATGGATCCAGGTGGCTCAGGACCGTGCTTTGTGCGTTCCTTAGGGGAGGCCTATGTTCAGAAGTGGACTTGTAAAAGTCTGTAAAGCTGACGAATGATGAATGTAATTTGCAATAGCAAACAAGTCAGTTACATTGACACCTCAAAGGACCAATAAGTTTTTTTTATAGAATAAGGTTGACAAACGGACACACACCTGATGGTAAGTGGATGCTGTGGCCCATAGACATCTACATTTATTCTCGGTTAAGAATCACAACGCAGATGCGTTGTCACCCCTGAGGACTGAGATGGAGGATGAAAAAGATGGTCTCCGGTTTCTACACTCACTATACGAAACAGCAGCATTAAGTCGCTATTTTACGCTGGTATTCTGTGAGAGCGTGGTCCTTCCCCGGTCGAGCCGACCCATTCGTGCTGCAACTATAATATTATACCATTGTCTTGTGACAAATATCACAGAAGTCTGCTGGGACAAATCATCTTAGTCATAGACCGAGTTTTAAATATAAGCTATTAAATTTTAGTACGAAGATCTTCTTTGAATATTTGCCTTTGTAACCATTTCTTATAATCTCTGAAATAAAAAGCAAAGTTCCGTTGAAATATGCGAACTAAAATATAAACTATGGAAATTGAACAACAAATGTCAATCGCGAAGATTGTACCGCCACATCTAAGTGACTTCTTTAATAAGATCGGCTCTTCTTAAACCATAGCTAAAACCCGAGACTATCAACAAGTCACGTTTTGTAAAGAAACGGAGTGAGTAAAAGTAAAAGTAAAAGGCAGACAGATATCACCCCGGTAAAAACATTCCAATACCCGTTTTATTCGATAAGATATGAGTATGTCAATAAACAACGGCAATAGAAAACTGTGCACTTTGCTCCAAACTATCTCGTTATGGGAAGTGACCTATCGCCCTGCAATGGGACGTAAGTGCGCCGTATACACAATGTATGATGCAATCAAATTATTCCTACAGTTGAATGGAATAATCCTTTCTTTGTTATTGGAATGGAAAATCAAGGCATATTGATAGATTTATTGCATGTACGAGTATTATATGCTCGTAGATTGGGACAGCCATATGTTGCGGTACACTGCGACATGTCCTGGATTGAAAAGTTTTGCCCGTGTTCCGGTCAGTTGTTCCGGTATATGAAATATAAAAAGTATTAGTATGATTAAAACAGCTATATGCCGTAAGTTCGCTATAGATTATAAAGACATATGCGTCTTACTTTTTACTAGAATCGTAAAGGAAATTGGTACCGAGAATAACAAGTAAGCCTAAGAAAATTAGATGATGATTTTTGAAAAGTATATTCCATAATATGAAAGGAGTTTTTAACTACGTATGGCCAATTTCTATACCAAATGTCCCGGTAGAAGTTCAAACATTTATGGTAGCCCTATCGTAGATAGATGCCCTATTGATCAATTGAGTACGGCAAACTATTGAATTGATCTATTCACAATAAAAGCCCCTAAGGTCAAATGGATGAGCGGATAAGGATAAATTACATCAATATGCTACAGATGTAAGATAATCAAATGCCAAAGATTTTCGGATATAGACTTCTTGATCAGTTTTGACTTTGCCCTACTTGTTCGTGAAGTTACATTACAAGACAGACAGACAAAAATATAACCTCTCAGCTCAATATAAGACATTTATATTGAGCTGCTCTGTTTAACAGACTGAGATTTCAATTTCATTTAGATGTATAGACTATAGATGTATACATAATGGGTTTAAATGAACCCCAGGTGCAATGTGAAGTGAATTCGCTGTGAACATCGCTGCTGTGAATCTGTTCTAAGACAACAATAAAATCTGAATAAAATGGTAATGACGTCAGTTAGATGTATTTTGTATTCAGGTACATGAATAACCGTCGCGTCCGCACAAGAACGACAGAAGACTGTGTTTTAAAAAAAAGGCAAACAAAGCGATTACTTTACATGACAGTTCCAGTATTATGTTTAAACTACAATAATATAGTCTCTACATATATGCAGTTACAATCACATATTTTACAAGAAAAAGATTATATTTTTACAGTAAGTTAATATCGTGACCGGACAGCACACTGTCCACGTGACAGGTGAAGTGTTTTTACGTGGTAGAGCCATGTTATAGTTGTGGTACGAATAGGTCGGTTCGGCAGGGGGAGGAACCACGCTCTCACAGTAATAACAACGTAAAATAGCAACACAATGCTGCTGTGGTTTCTACGGTGAGTGTAGAGAACAGGAGACCCTTTTTAATGGAAACGAGGCATTCCTTCTTAGTCCTCAGGGGTGAAAACGCATACGAAGACAGATGTAAATGTCTATGGACCACAGTATCCACTTACCATCAGGTGGACTATATGTTCGCTTGTCACCCTTATTACGAATAATGATTCATTCAGAGGTATTCGATGCAGACATTTTATTTCCCCTAGGACTACGATGGAATGCCTCATTATCAGAAAATGTTAGTCCTCATTGCACAACAACTCATCTGCATAAGATCTGATATTTTTAACCAAGCATAGATGTAAGTGCATGCCGTTAGCATCAGGTGGACGCCATACACGTGCAATAATTAAACTTTGCATATGTGTATCAAAAGGTAGAAACGTTTTATAAGATTGTATGTAATGTAGAAGTCATTATCAGCCCGAAAAAGTACCATCATGGACATAGAGTCTCAGATTGTAGAGAGAATGTGCTTTAATCGACATGCTCGATAGATGGACTGACCGATTATAGACATGTGTCCATCATTCATTTCTCGTGACCGAATCATTCTAGTATATTTCGTCACGAGTACCGGTACGTTCGGATCGATCATTCAAATGGATCATTTCGGGCTCCAGTACCTACACTAAAAACAATTCATTCAGATCATTGGGATTCGGTCGGTTAGGCTCTTGAAGGTTCATAAGTATCCGGCATGTCACGTATTTACCAAAAAAAAAAAACACTCAGACCGACGACTGAAAGCGGCGTCAGAGATGCGACTTAAATGGTACATACTAAGATCGGCAAACTGCGCTGCCAAGTTATGGCAAATACAATACAATGGCAGGAGCCCAAGTTCAGCAGTGGATTCTTACTAGCTGATTGAGAAGTTCACATTTGACACCTACGAAAAGATCAATATGGCGAGTTTTAGAGCAAAAACCGTAAATACCTGTGTGACGTTCATGGAGTCGGTGATGTTTACGATGGTGTGGTTGTCCTTTTCGTCGTAAATCATTTCGACAATCGCGATAGTGAGGTTGACGCGGAGCGCGTAGTTCAGCATGAAGCCCAGCAGCACCATGATATTCAATACTTGTACGCATGTTAGGCAACCTGCAACAATACTGACTTTTAATAATAATCTAATATATAAAAATTAATATGTTTGTTCGTATTTTATACGCTGCTTGTACATCAGATTACGGTAAAAAATATAGTAAGACCCGGTAGGTGGCGCTGTTGCAGAATCCAGCTATCGCCCGTGCGAAGCCGGGGCTGATCGCCAGTTCTTAGTAATAATTATATAATCACGTTTAATTAACTAAGTATTGATTACGATAGACCTTGGTTGTTAAGAAGTATAGATGTGAATATATTCTCTAATAATACAGATCTCGACTTTAGGGGTATATTAAAATACAAATTTGTCAAAATGCGCTTTAACTCAAGGATTCCTTCCTCTCTTTCTTATGTGTATAAAATTAATAGGTCTGGTCGTCTTTTTAATTATTTAATCAATTTTAACAATCAGTTCTTCGACACTTATTCAGTCTAATGCCGCCATATTGGCTCGCCAGTTCCCTAGTTACAATAACATTTGTAACATATGTACTTTTTTACCGTTGGGGAAAAAAGGTTCTTGAGTGGCAGCCTCGTACCGGTAGGCGAAGTGTAGGGCGACCCCCCACTAGATGGAGTGACGACCTGGTAAGACATGCAGGAAGTCGATGGATGCAGGTGGCTCAGGACCGTGCTTTGTGGCATTACTTGAGGGAGGCCTATGTTCAGCAGTGGACTTGTGAAGGGCTGAAATGAGGATGATGATGATGATGTACTTTTTTATTTGAGTGATTAATTATGTGAATATAATTACTTGTAAAATATTTATTATTATTAGTAAAGAAGTTATTTTTATAATTCATAAACGTTAGGGGTTAAAATTGAGTCTCAACTATTTTATAGGTATAGAAAATAGCATAATGTAGATGATAAAAGAACATCCTAATGACAATTAATCGTTTAAAAACTTGACATAAGTAATCTAACTCTAACATGAGTGAGTGTGTAACGTTTGGCTGCGGCATGAATGGGTCGGCTCAAACGGGGCTCAAAAGAGCACCGCGCACTCATAGAACACCAGCGTGGCACTTTACGATAATACTGATGTGTTTTCTAATGTGAGTGTTGAGACCCTGAAACTTTTGACTGGTAACGATTACATCTGATTCGTCAGAGGTGACAACGCGTCTGTATTTTGATACAGAATCAAGGATAAACGAAGACGTTTATGGGCCACAGCATCCACTTACCATCAGACATAAAGAAATAAAATACTTAAGTTGGTAAAAAATGCGACTTTACTGATAATACGAAGGTTATCGATGTTAATTTTGGTTCTAGATAGATAATAATTTAGCCCGAGGGTTACTATGTTACGAGGAGATACCTCAAACGTTTTGTTAGCACATAAACAAATATAAAAAAAATGTTAAAGAATACATAATATGAGAAAATATTACCATACTTAATATATTATACATATATTAATATTAAATTAGACATAAATGAGCCTCGTAACAAAAGTAGCTTATAATAATTTATCTCTGGTGTAAACTAGTTTTAATATAGTTTACATTTTTACTTTTTTAAATTATTTTTTAAATTATTAATACTTTACATTTTTGTTTGCAGAAAATATGCAAACAAAAATGTAAAGTAAGGAAATGAGGGCTAATAACGTACCGCACACCAGGTGTTGATAGTTTACATTGAGGTGAAGTTTTTTGTTACACAATGTCATTTAACTGAGAAGTTAGTTTTAAATTAAAGTTTATCAGTTTAGAGTTATATTAATACATAAAACAATGAGTCAGTGGTTTTCTGTTTAGTTTTTTTGCACATTTTAACCTTTTTGTTTAATGTTTATATTATATGAATAACGTGGTATGGTTTAATTATTTTTAATCTGATAAATAAAACATATAACTAATGGTACAAAAACAAATATTAACCTTTACATTTTTCTAAGTGGCAGAAAAATCGTGGAAGCCTTTAATGATAGCTAAGAGAATTCTTAGCTATCATTGAAGGAAGGAAGAATACTATTGATTTATTATATATAATAAGTCGAATAATCCGGATACATTTTAACATTTAATGACTGTAAATCATATATCAATTATTATAGAAAATAAAATAAGAAAACCAAACCACGGAAACTAAACTACTACTCGTTTTGGTTTCCCACAAGCAACTTATTTATATTCTTAAGTGCAATAAGAAGCCATTGAAACTCGATCAAATGTTTGTCCACATTGCCCACCTCCGCGATAGTATATTAAACGTATGTATACAATGGTTATTAGAACTTTACTGTCTGTTATTTCTCTGTATCGCAAACATTCGATATGCAATTGGTTCTCGAAAATTCCATTTCATTTATAGTTGTCTGTCTTTCATACCCACTCTAAATTTAATCTAGTCGGCGTGTAGTGGCGAGGTAAGGGGAAACACTACCCCATATCATCCTGTGAGTATCAACAACTAAAATTAATAAGAACATTTTTAGACCACCTTAACTCTATAAACTCTAAAATACAATTCACAATGGAGTTAGAGGCAAATAATTCTTTAGCTTTCCTAGATGTTTTAGTCATTCGAAATCCTGATAACACCATTGGTCACACTGTGTATAGAAAAAAGACCCATACCAACCGATATTTAAATGGTGAATCTCACCATCATCCTTCACAGTTAGCTACCGTGGGTAAATCTTTGTTTCAGAGAGCACGAGGGATCTGTGACAGAAAACATCTGGCCGCCGAACTTCAGCATGTCAAGCAAGTGTTGCAAGACAACAAGCTTCGGATCCCGCGCCTACGTCATAGTAACCGAGTGAAGCCGGCCACAGTCGAGCGTGTACCTGCTGTACTACCATATGTCAAAGGAGTCACAGACAAGGTTGGCTACATCTTGAAGCGAGCTTCCATTAAAACATACTACAAGCCGCCGAAGAAGATTAGTCAATTTTTACCATCCGTCAAGTGTAATATCCCTCTACAAGATGCAGGAGTGTACAAGTTAGATTGTGAATGTGGTCTCTCTTACATAGGTCAAACAAAAAGATCCATAAAAACCCGCGTGAAAGAACATATAGCTGACGTGAAGCACCGACGCTCCGGGAAGTCTGCAGTCTGTGAACATGTTCAGGATCGTCCCCACCATTACATCAGATTTGGTAAACCACAAGTCCTCGCAAAAGAACACCGATTCCTACCAAGGATGATACGTGAGGCTATTGAAATTAAAAAACATTCTAATTTCAATAGAGAAGATGGTTGGGTGCTGCCATCTGCTTGGGATCCTATAATTAACAAAATTAAACCCAAACCCGAGCATACCACTGCAAGACTTCAAGATACTGTAAGTTCATTTTGCGTAAATCGGACCAAAAATTAATATTCAAAAACTGAAGGTAGCCGGGCTAACAATGACATTGGGACGTCAAACATCTCAGTCCCCCCCGTGACCATGGGTGCTGTAAAGCACCCGAAACGTCGGGATAATAATAAAAATAAATTAAAGTAATTAAACGCGATAAAATCCGTAAATAATAGTTTTATTCAATTAATAAGAACTGTCTTACTGCGACTGTCACTCTAACTTCTTCTTCGACTACAAAAAACTAAAAAGGATATAATCATCGAAACCGGTACACAAGGTAAAGAATTAGGTTCGCCCCATTTGTGGTGCGGATGTCTTTGCAAATTCAAGGTGATAATTTTCTCATGGATACCATCACCAGATATTGCTTATTGAAACTGTTGAGAATTCAGGTTGACCCATAAAATTTCTCGCAAAATACAATAAAATTATCATACATTCATGTGCAGCTGTCGTTAGGCAACGGAATATACTGGTTTCCAAACTATAACAACGATATCTGACACAAGGACGGTCAGGATCTTACGCGGTCTATAGTATGATACCGTTGTCGTGTTGACATTATGTGACCGCTTGCGAAATTACTTATCAACCATATGTTATATATGGTTGATTCAAAACCGCTTAAACTGGTAGAACAGGTTATTTAAATAACATCTATATTATGTGAATTATGTACATTTTTTTATTTATTTTTTATAGAAACGCGTGACAGAGCACACAGTCTACTTTATCGTAAGTGGGTACTGTGACTCATAGACATCTTCATTTAGCCTCGATTACGAATCAAAATGAGGATGCGTTGTCGCCACTAAAGAAGAAGATGGAATGCCTCGTATCAAGTAAAAAGGGTTTCCGGTTTTCTACACCCACCATACGAACACAGCAGCCTTAAACTGCTACTTTACGTTGGTATTATGTGAGGGCGTGGTCTTACCCCGGTCGAGCCGACCCATTCGTGCTACAACCGCACGTTAAAAAGCAAGTTTAGACTAAGAAAGGCATTGAGGCTTAGCGTAGCACTAAAACTACAAGGAGACCTTGTAGGAATAGGCACGCCTTGAGAGGAGAAAGAATTTTGATCTCCCGACCGGCGCGGCGCTGGAGGGTCGCGCCTATGAAGTCCAGTGCTGAACATAGATAGGCCTTCCAAATAAATTACTCAATAGCGGGGGTTTTGGCAACACCCACGGGACAATATGGGGTAGTAAATATACTTACACCACCACAAAAAATAATATATTTTATAGGACTATTTTTGATGCTATAAGACTGTCAAAAACCTCACGCCACAGTCAAATACAATATCTTTTAATACTCATAAAATTATAGTATTTTAATATAAGCCCATAATATACTAGGATACTAACTATCATAAAATGTAACAATCCTAGCGTGAGCGTTCCCGTAACCCTGCCAAAAAGTAGCGATCGATCCGTACGATTTTAATTGCGGCAAGGTGCAATACCTAGCTAAAAAACAGTCAAGTGTGAGTTGAACTCGCGCATGAAGGGTTCCGTACCATCGGAAAAACACGTTTCTAGTAGGGTAGCCACCTTTATTTTTACTATTTGTTGTTATAGCGGCAACAGAAATAAATATACATTCTGTGAAAACGTCCTTTACGGGTCATGAGTACAGCCCGCTGACAGACAGACAGACGGACGGAC